GTGATCTCATGGCTTGTCTCTCACAGACCCTCTAGACGACCAAGATGCTAGAGATCTCTGGGTCCCTGAGGAATCGGAGAGTTTTGAGGGTGCCCAAGTGGAACACAGCACCTCCAGGTACAGTGGTGGTCCCCCCTCGGACTTCTGGCTGTGACTGGAGATGGAGGTCCCAGGACCAACAGATCAGGCAAAGGCCCGGGTGTAGTCTTGTGTAAGTTCCCTCCCACCCACTAGTGCATCGATGTTTCTGAGCTTAGATATTAAGAAACTAGAGCACTTTGTGACAATTCCAAAAGCGCCACTCCAAGATTCTGAAAGGGCGGCACCTATGGGCCCCTGCACTTCAGCAAAGGTCTCAGTACTTTAGTTTACAGCCAGAGCCCTGGGTCTCTGCATCTTCAGAAGAACCGGAATCCATTCTGGATGCTTCATGTATTAATATAGAAATGATACAACCCCTGAGCACGTGTGCAGGTGTGTCCACCCCTATGTACTAATATAGAAATGATACAACCCCTGAGCACGTGTGTCCACCCCTATGTACTATTATAGAAACGATAACAACCCCTGAGCATGTGTGTCCACCCCTATGTACTATTATAGAAATGATAACAACCCCTGAGCATGTGTGTCCACCCTATGTACTAACACAGAAATGATACAAACCCTGAGCACGTGTACAGGTGTGTCCACCCCTATATACTAATATAGAAACGATACAACCCCTGAGCACGTGTGCAGGTGTGTTCTACAGTCCTGAGCACACGCGCAGCTGCATACCCGTGCACCATACCATACTACAGGAAACAGCTCAGCAGGGAAATGGGATGTGTTTTTGTACACTCAGCAGATCCTAAAACTGACTGCAGATTCCTCTGAGCCCCATAAAGCCCCTTCCCAGAGACAGTGTCACCCAACCGCCTAGGAATTCCTGGTTCCTCTCTATCCCCTCTCCAAGGGCAGGCTTCATCCAGTAGATCATCTCTAGTCTACTATCTTCCTTCTCTTTCCAAGGAGCCAATCACAGGAGACTTCCTTCCCACTCACGTCCATTCTTCTCCTCCTGGCCTGTGTCCTCTTCAGCAAGCTTCTTACAGCCAGCGTCCTCTGGGCTGTGGCCAGGGGCAAGCAGAAGCTGGGGTCACCTGTGGCCAGTGGGCTGGACTGCGGACACGATGCTGGGCACCAGCTTCAGATCCTGACGGGTGAGTGGGGCAAGCTGGTGGACCTTAGGCACGAACAGGGCAGGGATGGAAGGGACTGAGCCCTATCTGTTGTAGGACCCAGAGATGCGTGAGAGAACTCCAAGATGGAGGAGAAGCCCAGCTCAAGTCCACCCATGAGTCATCCAGCTTGCATTCTCTCCCATCTGCCACCAAGACTTCTGCTTCTTCTGGTTTGGCTTCAGAGGTCACTTCTGCCTAAAGCCTGCCTCTTCCAGATGCAGGGATACTCGTGCTAAAGCCCGTCATTTCTCCTGGAAGCAGGAGCACTCCTGTGTTTCTGTGTGTTGCGTGCAGAAGAGAGCTGGAAGGTCACGTGTGAGCCTCTGGGCTTTGGCCATTAAACACTCTCACACACCAACCCAGGACTATCCACTCTTTCTAGATGCTTTTGTGCCTCATAATGGTCTTCTGTTTCTCAGTGCTGGGATTAAATTCATGGTCTTGTTCATGCTAGGCATGAATTTACCACTGAGATAATTCCCAGGGTAGGATTATGCATCTGGATGAGAAAAAGGGGAAAGGGTACCTTGCTTTGTAGAGGAGAGATACCTGTCCTCAGCCCCTACCCAGGGTCCTCTGAGAAATGCTTCCCAGGAGTAAGGGAAAGTGAAAATTCTCTGTAATAACTTTACACACACACACACACACACAGGCTAACGCTCTTCACTCTGTGTGCTCTTTATTGCTGTGTTCTTTGTGTCTTCCATCTTTATTCTCCTCTACGTTTGTATTCTACATCTTTATTCTACATCTCTACTCTACTACATCTCTGTTCTGGGACCCATTACAAATTCCCAAGCATAAAAACTACAAGGCAAACCTTCAGGGATGAGCATTCTGATAAGAGTCACACTTAGCAAAGACTTGGTCAGCTTAATTGGTGACTGACCACACCTGTAGGTTGTGAAAGTTCTGGCTGTCTCTTAAAGGGACAGCCACAAGGGTTACAAGGGAAGGGACTGAGCCAATGAGAGATCTAAGGAAGAGGCAAAGAATGTGTGTGCTATTTTATGTGATTAATAATATCTGGGGGACTGGAAAGATGACTCCGAGGTTAAGAGCACTGGCTACTCTTCCAGAGGTCCTGAGTTCAATTCCCAGCAACCACATGGTGACTCACAACCATCTGTAATGAAATCCAGTTCCCTCTTCCAGCCTGCCGGGATACATGCAGGCAGAACACTGTATAAATAATAAATAAATAAATCTTTAAAAAAAATAATATCCGGACGTGGCTAGTCAATTACCAGCCTTTTCCTGTTAATTATCTGAATCTCAGGACCTATACATAGTTAGTCTACTGAGCCTAAAATCTTGCATTATAAACTGGTGTAGAAATAAATACAAAGTGTTAATTGTTATTTGAATCAGAGTGGGGAGGTGCTGGTGGAGGAAGCTTAGGGCAACATAGGTGGTATTGATCTCTTGAAGGACTAAGATACACCAGGGCCAGACACCTGCACTATCACTTCTGGTTCACTATAATTCTTCTGAAGGCTTTTGATCCAGCAAGGCCAGGCACCTGCAATTCCACTCTGTGAAAATTCCACAAGGTCACTTTGTCTGGCCAGTTTTGCCTTCTCAGTGGCTAAGGTTGGAGAACAAGACCTCTAAGTGTCTACAGTCCACAAGGAACAATAGACCTAATTATGAAGCATATTTTAGCATGTTTCTATTCATCAAATTTAGTAAAAGTTAAATGAGAAACCATTGTCTTGACCATCCACAATTATGTGTGCCCATAAGATTGAAATGTAACCAGGGGTTTACATGAGCACATTATATGGAAATGCATGGCAAATGGGGAGATATCCTAGCTGTTCTTCAAGAAGGAATGAAGTTCTTAGGGGAGAAATGAAGTGGCACATGAGAGAAACACAGACAAGGAGCAACTGGTCATTCAGAGCCAGTAACCTCACAGCCTGGCCAGGTGGGGCTTCCCATCAAAGAGTGGGTTTGACATATGAACACCAGTTATCACCTGCTGTATACTCTCATGGCCCTCGACATTACGTGAGGCCGGGTGTTCAAAGACACTGTCTGAATTTCACTTCTGTTGCCGTGGTAAAACACTGACCAAAACAACTTAGGGGAGAAAGGGTTGATTTTTGCTCATAACTTCAATTACAGCTCTTCCCAGAAGGGAAGTCGAGGCAGCAGGAACTTAAAACAGCTCGTCACAGCACATCTGCAATCAAGAACAGGGAGGGAATGGATGCAGACATGCTTGTGCTCAGCTCCTCTCTGTACGGTTACCACTTACACAGTCCAGGAGCCCCTCGGGGCTGGGCCTGTCCACGGCAATCAACATGTAATCCAGACAACCCCCTCAGACATGCCTGTGTGCCAGCTTCATCTAGACAAACCTTCTTTGAGACAGTATTGGGAGGGTCTAGATTATGTCAAGATGGCAACTAAAACTAACTATCACGGGTACCCTGTCTTCCGTCTCATAGGCTCCAATCAGGTCCATCTTTTCATCCTGATTTCCCTTCCCTAAGTTTGATCACCAAGTCCTTCTGGGGGATAGCTGGTCATCTTCCTACTCCTCCCCTTGTGGCATTCTCTCCACCAGCTCCTACAGTTGCCCGCTTCCCAGACCCAGGCTCCTTCCTCTCCACCCCCCCGCTCTGCCACTCAGGCCCGTCCAATCCCCTGACTCATCCTCTCATCTCCGAGAGCTGTGCTTCCATCTGCAACTTCCCCTCTGAAGAAAGGGCAAAGACCGAGCCACAGTATCTGAGCTGGGAAAGGATAGTCCACACCCCGGGATGTACTGAGAGGAAATGGAGGCCGGGAGAAGGAGGGGCTTATTCACTGTCTCTAGTAGAGCCTGGACATTCACGTTTCCCTCCACATTCCCGGCACCCTTTTCTCTAGCTCCATCCTGCCAGTGTGTTTGTGAACAAGTGTATTCCAACGCGTTGTTCTGAGTCTGATCCGAGCCTCAGAGACACACACAGATTCTACACTAGAGTGTTCTTGTTCTAGGGAGAGGAGGTGGGGGGGGCCGGCAAACACAGTAAAGGGGTTTTGTCCAAAGTGTGGATGAAAATTTGTAAATAAAGCTGGTGTAGAGGAGATGGAATGTGCCATTTTGAGCGGGACAGTCAAAGGTGACGCCTGAAGGAAGTTAGGAAATACGTGAGGACACTGTGAGCAGGAAGACTTTGGGGCAAAGGGAACAGTCAGGACCGGTCCATCTCTTCAGCTCTGCTTCATTTCTGTTGCGGTGATAAAACATCTTGACCAAGAGCGGCATAGGGAGGAGCAAAGGGCCCGTTTAGCTTATTGTTACAAGTCACAGTCCATCGATTTGGGGAAGTTGAGGCAAACTCAAGCAACTAGTCACATTCCATCTTCAGTTAAAAGCAGAGAGAAACAAGTGCATCCCTTCTGCCTGATTGCCCAGCCAGCTTTCCTCCCTTGTACAGTCCCACCCAGTCCAGGAACAATGCTGTCTGACTTCAGGCTGAACCTTCCCACCTCTGTTAACAGTCAGGACAGTCCCCCCAGACATGCCACAGACAGACATGCCCACAGAATGCCACAGACATGCCACAGACAGACATGCCCACAGAATGCCACAGACATGCCCCAGACAGACATGCCCACAGAATGCCACAGACATGCCACAGACATGCCACAGACAGACATGCCCACAGAATGCCCACAGAATGCCACAGACGTGCCCCAGACAGACATGCCCACAGAATGCCACAGACATGCCACAGACATGCCACAGACAGACATGCCCACAGAATGCCACAGACATGCCACAGACAGACATGCTGACAGAATGCCACAGACATGTCCCAGACAGACATGCCCACAGAATGTTTCCAGACATGCCCCAGACAAACATGCCCACAGAATGTCTCCAGACGTGCCCCAGACAGACATGCCCACAGAATGTCTCCAGACGTGCCACAGACAGACATGCCCCCAGACATGCTCCAGACACCCACAGTCCAACTTCATCTAGACAATCCTTTTGTATTCTCTTCCCAGATGATTCTGGGTTGTATCAAGTTGACAAATACACACCAACACCCTGGGCAAGGGTGAGGCAGAGTGGGATAGAAACTCTCTGATGGACCTAGATGAGGAGGATCAAGCTAGCCACAGACCCAAGCTTTCTATTAGGCCTGGGAGGTAGACACCCAGAAATCCCTGTGGCCACGGTGACATGAGCATGCTTTAACATCTAATGTGAGCGTGGAATTATGGGAAATGTCCATCATGCCATGCCCTCTCCAGCCTCACTTCACACAGCCCTCCCTGGGTTCCAGCCCTGGCTTGTGCATTCCCACTTAGACTATTCCAGTGACCCTGGTCTGGAACTCTGAGATTCTGAGTCAGGTTGCTTTTGGGCTTCTCCAACTGCCTTGTTGTGTCCTAAGGACATTGACTCTTTCCCACGATGGAGTCCGCAGTCTGGCCAAATCCTTTTCAGCTGCCTGCACCCTGAGCACCAGGCTGTGAAGCGGGCCTGAGAGGCTCCCTGAGCCATGCCTGGCTCTGCAGCATGGTGGCTACTCTCCTCTTGGGGTCTGCTCTTCACTCCTTACCTGCTCTTCCGAGTCTGCGATGCCCACCTCTGGGTTCCAGTGACCGTTGAGATGCCCTGCCTTGGGCTAAGGATCACCATGGACCGAACAGTAGATAGATCCTAGGCTTCAGTCTCACCTCTCCCTCCTGACAACTTGTAGTAAGCAGGTTCATCAACCCACGACAGGTTGGCTGATTGTAAAAAATAGATCAGTCAAGCAAGCAATTAGTCAACCAACACTCCCCTGGTCTATTTCACAGGGCTTTAAATGGTTTTGAGGGGGCTGGAGAGATGGCGTCTTAGTTACTGTTGTTCTGTTGCTGTGCGGAGACACCATGACCAAGG